TATCTTCATTTGTTTTTAGAATTCCTAGACCTCTCTTAAACAAGAGAAAATGTGTAAAAATAATTTGATTTAAAAAACATTGTATCCCTAATTTGAACTTTAAATGTGCAGGGTGAGATTAAATAACTTCTAAGCTACTCGTCCGACAGCTGTTAAAATTATTCCTCTGACAGCTTATTATATTATTTACAAGCGAACAAAACCATTTTGGTGAGAATTTTCCAGAAACAAAAATATTCGTGATGGAATTCATGAGTGATAGTGTGATTTCTTTATATTTGGCTGGAAAACCACAAGTGGCTATCGATAGAGAACTCCTGCATTTAAATGTGAATAAATATTTTGTGTCTCATACCATCGCTCGTTACCGTGACACTGGTACCGTAGCCCGACGTCAAGGAAGTGGACGAAAGAAAACAGCAACATCAGCAGAAATGGTTCGAAAAGTAAAAAAGCGACTTGATCGAAAACCGCGTCGCAGACCGAAAAATGGCTCGTGAGCTGAAAATATCACAATATTCCATTCGGCAAATATTTAAAAATGAGCTCGGGGTAAAGCCATTGAAATTCCAAAAAGTACAAGAACTTACACCGCAACAGAAAGAAAATAGACTCAAAAGAGCTAAAGAGTTCCTTCGCTTGGCCGAAAGTGGTGAACTGCCGAATTTGGTTTCCTCCGATGGGAAAGCATTCGTTGTACAGCAGTTTGTAAACAAACAAAATGATCGTGTTTATTGACAATGTTCACCTTCGGTTGGCCACCAGAACTCAAGCGCCGGCCATGATGATAGTGTGGGCCTCTATAACAGCCGATGGTCGCTCTCCGCTCGTATGAATCGACCGTGGCATCAGAATAAATGCCGATTATTATCGCGAAAATATTCTGGAGGGTGTATTGAAGCCTTGGGCACGCAAACATTTTGGCCGAAGACCTTGAACATTCCAACCGGCCTCATCACCATCGCACTCATCACGCACCACCCAAGAATGGTTACAAAATGAAGTTCCTTGGTTCATTTCCACCAAAATCTCCAGATACCAATCCATAGGACTATTTTGGAAAGCAAGGTGGGTACTAAAAAATACCAAAGTGTCGATCACCTCAAGATAGCACTTCGCCGGGAATGTGCCAAAATAGCGAACAACATTCGGGCAGCATGTGACGGTTTCATTGGCCGTTTGAAGGACATGATTCGTGCCAAATGTGATCAATTCGAACAAATCTAAACTTATTCTAAAATTTGATGCTATTTCCGACATTTCAAAGTATGAATACACACTATAGATAAAGGGCTGGGAGTATAAAATAACAAATAATCAAATATGGTATTTGTTATATTGATTGTAATAGTGTATTTGAAGTAGTGTTGTATAGCCTATTAAAACCTGAAACTCAAATATTTTTGGCGACAAATTCTGTATTGAGTTAAAAACCAGTAAAGAAAGTCTTAAAGTCGGGCGGGGCCGACTTTATGATACCCTACACCACTTTGCCAATTTAGTAGAGCTCCACATAACAATTAAAAGTTTTTAATGGGAGAATTCAAACATACACGCTATGATTATAATTATAATTAAAAGTTCAAAGGACTAAACATGCCGAAGCATTTGTATCTTTTAAATTCGGACTTGTATTGACAATTTGGTGCACAATTAATTTAAAATCGGATAAAGATATATATTGGAGCTATATTCAAGTCTGAACCGATCTCGATAAAATTTAGCAAATGTATTTCTGAGCTGTATTTGCTATATTTCCCCAAATATTGTTGTTACAGAGTGCATATTACGGCTGCGGAGGACAAAAATAACAAATCGGATGTACAATATATATGGGAGCTATAGCTATATCTGAACCGATCTTCACCAAAATTGACATACTAGCTACTAGATTCAATTCGGTCGTAAGTGCCAAATTCCATCCCATTTTGACAAATATTAGACGTTTGGTGCACAATAAAGTGTAAATCGGACGAAGTTATATTTGGGAGCTATATCCAAGTCTGAACCGATCTCGATAAAATTTAGCAAATGTATTTCTGAGCTGTATTTGCTATATTTCCCCAAATATTGTTGTTACAGAGTGCATATTACGGCAGCGGAGGATAAAAATAACAAATCGGATGAACAATATATATGGGAGCTATAGCTATATTTGAACCGATTTCGATCAAATTTGGCATATTTATTTTCAGACCTAATTGGGTTGTATGTGCAAAATTCCATACTATTCGGGCTGATATTACACGTTTGGTGCACAATAAAATGCAAATCGGACGAAGATATGTATGGGAGCTATATCTAAATTATTACCGAATATCTCCAATTTCAATAGGGTTCGTCCTTGGGCCAAACAAATGATCTGTACAAAATTGCATCTGGATAGAGCGATAAATGCGATATGTACTTTGTTTACAAAAATAAATGGAAACAAATGCACAAAGACATAATACCCTGACCACTTTGTGGTGTAGGGTATAATAATTATATTGAGTTATATTAGGACGAACAATTTTTTTTACAAAAGTTAAGATGAGACCATGTTTTTCGTCCGAAATTTCTCTAAAACAATTAAAATATCTTTGATACGTGTTGTTTCGTTCATGTTTACAGCAATTTGAGAAAGAACTATTTCTTTAGTGCGATTGAATCAGAACAACTGGTTGTCAAACATGTTGTTGTATTTCCCAAAAACAAAAGTATCATAAAGATATGGAGATCTGATACATGTTGTTTTTTACGAAATATGAATCGCTGTAGTAGTCAATGTAAACTAGAAAAGTGAAATTTAGAACATTAACATTTGTTTGTCTACCGTTTATCACGTCTTTCATAGTTATTATTATACATTCGGAGTTTCTCTCTTATCAACCAATACGATTTAATGGAATGATGGGATTTTAAGTTGGCAGTACTTTCAGCTTGAAGAATATAGCCTTTTTAAAAATAACTTTTTGAGTTTTGTTTTCTTGTTTTGAAGGAATGTTATTCCACTTGTAACTTCTCTAAACATTCGTCCACCTTTCTTCAAAATTTGGCACAATAAGTTTGTATTTTATGGAGGATTTGTATTGAAATTCTTTTTTTAATTTTATTGAATGAAAGCAAAAAAAAAATGTCGGAAATAGCATCAAATTTTAGAATAACTTTAGATTTTTTCCAATTGGTCACCTTTGGCACGAATTATGGCCTTCAAACGGGCAATGAAACCGTCACACGCTGCCCGTCATACGCTGTCCGCTGCCCGCTCTGCGGTATTTTGGCCCATTCCCGGCGAAGCGCTTGCTTGACACTTTAGTATTTTTTAAAGCTAACCTTGCTTTCCAAAATACTCCAGACACAATAGTCCAACGGATTGGTATCCGGAGATATTGGTGGCCATTGTGCGCTGGAAATGAAGTGAGGAACCTCATTTTGCAACATTCTTGGATGGCGAGTGCTGAGTGCGATAGTGCTGAGTCCTGTTGGAATGTCCAAGGTCTGTGGCTAAAATGTTTGAGTGGCCAAGGCTTTAATATACCACCCAGCATATTTTCGCGATAATATTCTGCATTTATTCTGATGCCACGGCCGATTAATACGAGCAGAGGGCGACAATTGGCTGTTACGGCGGCCCACGCCATCACCAGGCCGGCGCTTGAGTTCTGGTGGCCAACCGAAGGTGCAACTTTTTCAGATGACCTCTTTGCAAGTAAACACGATCAGTTTGTTTGTTTACAAACTGCTGGACAACGAATGTTTTCTCACAAATATTGGTATGGGCAAAATTACAAAAAAATTAACATTTATATACAACTTTATGGGAAATCATAAATTCCATATTCATCTCAGGTTTCTGGTTGAGAGAAATATTAAGATATAGCAAGTTGTAAAGAATCGCTGACTTGTTTCGCAAGTTATGACCCTTTGAGGGTGAAGTACCAAAAGGGGTTCACATATATATATATCATCTTAACAACAGCTCTAGTGTTAGCAAAAATGTTTGTATGTGTGAAATTCGAAGAGAGTTGGATGCTTATTTTACTTTCTTTGAGCATTTTTCAAAATCTTGAACCTTTGTGGGGGAGGTACTAGAAGAAATGGTCCGATCTCTACCATCTTTATAACAGATCTTGTGTGGATAGAAATATTGAGATGTGCCAAGTCTGAATGGAATAGGATGTTGATTTCGCGTTTTATGAGATTCGTGGATATCCAAAATGTTGACCCTTTGTAGGAGAGGTACCAGAAGGAGTGGACCAATATATCCCATCTTCACAGCATATCTTGTGTTAGTAGAAATAATGGCATGTGAAAAATATAAAGAGAACTGGATGTTTTTTTCCGATTTTGTAATAGTTTTGGTTATTCAAAAGTATTGTGATCTGTATAGTTGGAAGACAATCGGACTCGTACTTCACATTTTATAAGGGTCATAATTATTTAAAATTTTGACCCTTGGTGGGGGAGGTACCATCTCTGAACTCGATCTACGTTTGATAATAATATTACGGTGTACCAAGTTTGGACCAAATCGAATACTCCCTTCGCATCAGCCAGCCGGACATCGCTAGATCGACTCCAAATGCCCTGAAACGGATTTGGTCCAAAGAGTCCTAGGGTCTAAAACCTTTATTTCGATGAAGCACGTTTTGGCCGTATCAAATGATATATAAAGGGTATAAGGGTCGCCATATGGCTGAGTTTATAAAAAGACAACATCATTACTATTGGTAGTTTTAAAATAGTGTCGATAATCATTATTCTTATTATTTATTATTATTTTTCTTCTTATTATTATTATTTTCATAATTATTATTATTATTATTATTATTATTATTATTATTATTATTATTATTATTATTATTATTATTATATTTTTTTTTTTATTCTTATATAATTTAACATATTGAGTCAATACATTTTCCTTATTGACCCAGACAACCTTATAGTCGTTTTGATTTTTTATTTTTTTTTCTCTCACCTCTAATTCACTTTCTATTTCTTTTTCCTTTTTTCAGATTGAATCCAGTAATAAGGAATTGAAATTATCTACAATATCAGGTAATAATTACAAATAGAAAAGAAAATTCCAACATTTATTTCCTATTTCCTTCAAATAGTGTTTTCTTTCTCTCTGTTCGCATTTCAATAATATGCTTACCAACAACTGATTCCTATTTAAAGTTGAACTTTTTGTTGCATGTTTGTTTGTTTGTGTTGTTGATTGGCCTGACATTGAGACACGCACACATGCCATTCCACATCAACTTCCACTCATAATTAAAATTTTGAAATTGATTTCCTTTTCATTTCACCCAAAACTTTCGTTTTTCATTAATTTATGTAAAACACAAAACAACAACCACAACAAAGAAGAAAGAAATTTCTTAGAAATTATAATGATGATGTAACGAATTCTTATTATGTGAGTGTGAGTTTTGAAAGTCCCATGTGAGTGAGTTGGATTTAATTCCCCGCTAATATGAATATCTGTGGGATAAACAAAAGACTTAAGACACAAACCCATCTCATTAAAATTCCAAAGGCTTGGTACTGTTGGACAGCCTCCAGTTGGAATGATCGAAAAAAAGAGATAAGCTTTAGTATGAATGAGTGTAAATTTTGAAAGTTGAAACAGGGTTCTGCATACATATATGTCCAATACGTTGGTTATTGTTTATTGAAACCAAATACACATGGGAACATTTACTTGGTTTGCTATTAAATATTCATTTTCCGTTCAATATTCCATAAACGTTTCGACCATTTTAATTGCATTCATTTCCAGGATAATCGGATGATAGCATTTTCATATTGCAATGCAAAAATTCCCCAAAGTATTTTCCCAAAAAAAAAAACTCAAACTCTCTCTTCGTTAAACAATAAAATCGAAAATTTTCCAATCGCCAATAATTATTATTATTTTATGATTAATTTTTATTGGCGTCCATATTGATTCTGCTCATTAGTTTTAATTACCAAAATATTTATATTGAGATGGATAATCTGGCACAGCGTTCGTGACAGGTGATATTTGAAGAAAAAAAAAACATTGAAAAAAGAAATGTAGCTAATATTTAATAATGGCATTTATTTTAATAACAAGCGAAAATTTCACCTGCAGCTTATGATTCAAAGGCCCCAGGTGTTTCAAAGATAAAAAAAAATATTTTTATAATTTATATTTATTGGATATCATTCATTTGAACTTTTTTCTTAATTTAAACTTATTTTAATTAGATGAAAAGAAACCCATTTTCAACATTTCGAAGCAAATTAAGCAATGGAAGGATTGGAAGAATTTTTGGTGATTATTTTTCGGAGTTATTCGTACGGATTTTTTTAAATATTTTTCGACTAGCAGTGCGGTGATTTCTTTTCTTTTTTAAGGGGTTGTAAGTTATAAATTTTAAGAAAAATGTTTATTTTCATTACTGTTAATTTAGATTTTTAAAAAATATTGCAAAAAAAAGTTCATATTTTCCAAAAAAAAAAAATATTTGACGAGAGTTTTTTAGAATATTTTTCGGGGTTTTTATACCCTCAGCCATAAGGCTAGTTATACCCTCAGTCATATGGCTAGAGAGGGTATATATCATTTGATACAGTCAAAACGTGCCTAGTCGAAATAGTAGGGTTTAGACCCTAGGTCTCTTTGGACCAAATCCGTTTCAGGATATTTGGAGTCGATCTAGTGATGTCCGTCCGTCAGTCTGTCTGGCTAGTGCGCACGATAACTCTCAAAGGGAGTATCAGATTTGGTCCAAACTTGGTACATCGTAATATTTTTGTCAAACTTAGATCGAGTTCGGAGATGGGAAATATTGGTCCACTCCTTCTGGTAACTCTCCCACAAAAAATCGAAATGTTCAAAAAATATATTTTCTGTACAGAAAGAGAAACGATAATCCGATTTGCAAATCCTAATATGCGTCAGTTCTAGGTCAGGTGCGAAAATGGAGAATATCGGTCCACTCCACCAAGTACCTCCCCCACAAAGGGTCAAATTTTTGAATAACTACAACTCTTACAAAATGTGACGTATGAGTCCGATTGTCTTCAAATTTTACACATCCCAATATTTTTTATTAACCCAACGTCTGGTGTTAAGATGGAATATATCGGTCCACTCCATCCCCTACGAAAGGTCAAAATTTTGAATATTCATTAATCTTATAAAACACGAAATTAACATTCGATTCCATTTAGACTTTGCACATTTGAATATTTCCATCAACACAGGATCTATTAAAAAACGGTAGCGATAGGATCATTCCTTCTGGTACCTCCCCTCCAACATTTTAATATCATAAAACGCGAAATAAGCATCAGGTTCTCTTTATATTTCACACATTCCATAATTTCTACTAACACTAGATCTGTTGTGAAGATGGAATATATCGGTCCAGTCCTTCTGGTACCTCCCCCACAAAGGTTCACAATTTTGAATATCCATAAAGCTCATAAGAAATTAACATCCGATTCCATTCCAGGCTTGGTACATATCAATATTTCCACCTACACAAGATCTATTGTGAAAATGATATGTATCTGCGAACCCCTCGCAAAGGGTCACAATTTTCAATACTTTTATCTGTCATAGCTTGTGAAACAAGACAGCGATTCTTTACAATTTGCTATATCTAAAAATTTCTCTCAACGAGAAATCTGAGATCAATATGGAATTTTAATTTCCCATAAATTGGATATAAATCTTCGATTTTCTTGTAATTTTGTCCATGCCGATATTTTTATATGTATTAGATAAAAATTGAATACTTCGGTCTACTACATGTGTCATGTAAAGTGAAGGAAGTTACCAACCTGTTACCAAGTTACCCCATATTTATATCCTATTTATTTAGGTCCGATACGAAATAGACTATATTGGCCCTTCAGAACCCACTTCATAGAGGGTCAACAGCTTGCATAATCATAACAGAAGTCAAAATATATTTAAATAATCGATCAATGGCTGAGGGTATTAGTCTGTCGGCAGAACCGATTGATACTGAATTTTTGAATTTTTATGGTGAAGGAATAAGAAAGAGTTATCCGATGTATTGCATTTCCACACTTTCTCTAATATAGAAAGTGATTGAAATGTGAAAAGTTTTGAGAAAATCGGACATTGATTAAAAATATTGACCATTTTGGTAATGGTAATAGGAGGAATGGACCTTTACAGGGTGATGTAAAAAACAACAACAAAGTTAAAGGCCATAATTTTTACATTTTTTTTTTAATTTTATTGAATGAAAGCAAAAAGTGTCGGAAATATCATCAAATTTTAGAATAAGTTTAGATTTGTTCGAATTGGTCACCTTTGGCACGAATTATGGCTTTCAAACGGCCAATGAAACCGTCACACACTGCCCGAATGTTGCTCTGCAGTATTTTGGCCTATTCCCGGCGAAGCGCTTGCTTGAGGTGATCGACACTTTGGTATTTTTAAGTATAGTCCAACGGCCATTGTGCACTGGAAATAAAGCGAGGAACCTCATTTTGTAACCATTCTTGGCAGGCGCGTGCTGAGTCCTGTTGGAATGTCCAAGGTCTGCGGCCAAAATGTTTGCGTGCCCAAGGTTTTACTACACCCTCCAGAATATTTTCGCAATAATATTTGGTTCAGGTTCTTCAGGTATCAGGTTCTTATTTCAGTCAATATGAGATTTGTTCTCAGGTTGTCGAAAAGTTTTTTACGACGCTGTGTATACTATAATTGTACAAAAAGAACTAAATGTTACTATATTTGATATTGGGCTGGAATCCTCAAAATCCTGACATCTGATATTAATGTCACTGTTGGTATCTGTGGTTAAGGGAGCTGGTTTTGAATATGCCTACAATAATTTTACTAATGTGAAGGAATAAAGCTGTAATCCTGAAATTTGATATGGATGTAACTATTGGTGTCTGTGGTTGAGAGAATGAGTTGGATTTGAATATGCCCCGATAATTGTACTTAATTTAATAATCGGGGGAATTTAGGAGCTGAAATCCTGAAATTTGATATTAAAATCAACTTTTGGTATTTAAATTTGCGATATGGAGATCGTATTGGAAATGCGTACTAAAATTGTTCGAAAACTACTAAATCATCTTAAATTTTTTATTGGGTGAAGGGATAGAGCTGAATTCCTGCAATTTGATATTAACGTCACTGTTGGTGTCTAGTATTTAGATATGAAACGGCTTTATAAATGAGTACTAAAATTATGCGAAGAGTACAAAATGTTACGAAATTTGGTATTGAGTGAATGTAAAGAGTTGGAATCCCAATATTTGATATGGAGGTCTATGTTGGTTTTAGAGATCTGGTGTTGGTTTTTCAAATGAACACTATATGTGTTGCAGAGTACTAAATTGTACTAATTTTAGTCACCGTTTGCGCGTAAGATGGAGTTATGTAGATAGTTTTGGATATGCGTACTAAATGCCAATAAAATTTGGTATTAGGTGAAGAGATACGACGCTGTGGGTATATCCAGTTTATTTACACAATCTGCTACAATTTCAGTCCAAAACGAACCTCGCAGACTTTATCAATTTTTTGGTTTCAATGTCAGTTTTCTACGCATTTTACACTGTTTGGTGATTTGTTACTCAAAACAATGTATGGTTGTTGCTAATTCAAAGATTACCATCTAATTGCATGCATTCCCCCGTTAATTTATCTTTAGCCTCCGCATGGCCAATGGTCATTGGGCAGTTTTCAATTGAAAAAATAGCTACTCTTTACACTTTCATCATGGTCATCAATCACCAAGAAGAAAAAGAAACGCCACAGCAAAAAAGTGTAAAATCATCAACATTCGCACTCTGTACAACGCCGAACCAATTTGGCAGAGGCCTAAACACGTGCAACATTTAGCACCGCCATGTAAGGCCAAGCATTTCCTGCAAATGTTTGCAGGCTGCCATTGCTGCGGCAATAAAACATGCACTCAAACAATGCAATGCGTGAATACATAATATTTATTTCGTGGCGAAGATATTTTCAAATGTTATCAAGATGTGTTTGAGAAAAATAAAACATCAGGTGTTTCTTTAACACGAGT